AAAAAAAAAAAAAAAAAAATTAAAAAAAAAAAAACCACAAAACTTTCTGGGCTTTGACCAGGTAGAATTTCTCTCTAGAACAAGAGTGATGCTGTTTCTCTTTTTCCTTTTACAAGGGCTGTATTTTTTTCTGAGTCCGAGTCTCACTCTGTCACCCACACTGGAGTGCAGTGGCATGCTCATGGCCACTGCAGCCTCAACCTGTCAACCTGCTGAGCTCAAGCTATCCTTCTGCCTCCACCTTCCAAGTAGCTGGAAGTATAGGTATGCCATCATGCTCTGCTAATTTTTCTTGATTTATTGTAGAGACAAGGTCTTGCCACGTTGCCCAGGCTGGTCTTGAACTCGTGGGCTCAGGCAAATCACCTCAGCCTCCCAAAGTGCTGAGATTATAGGCAGGAACCACCACGCCTGGCCTGGGCTGTATCTTTTTAACATGAGCACAGTGGTGATTATACTCAAGGGAAGTCTGCTCTCATGGAAACAGCACTGGTCTTGGATTCAAAAGATGAAGATTTGCAACCTTTCAATGCTGTTTACCTGCTCTGTAAGCTAGGAGGAGGATTCCATTTAATGTGATTCCATTCCTGTACAGCTGTCAGTAGTTCCAGGCAGAGCAGACAGAACTAAAATCCCTTACCTGAAGGGGCCACAGTTTAGAGATGGCTTGTATCGGACAATAGCAAAAATGGTTGGCAGCATGCACAGGAAAAGCATGAACAGGAGCATTGCCAAGTAGAAGTTGTTGGATCTGCAAAGAAACCAAATGTCATGTGTCAAGTTCATCTCACAGCCAGTTGCTGAGGAAGCGTATGCCCAAACGGGACTTTGACACTGCTGACCCAACTCTTTGCAAACTGAAAATCCTCCTCCTGAGAACAAGTCTGTCACAGGATGACATGCAGCTTAGAAGCCTAGAAGTCAGCATTCAAAGAAACTTCACAAATCCTCCAACCCAAATTTTTCATCTAATGAATATTTGCCAAGCACCCTTCTACCTCAACCATGAGAGTGGCGACTCACTCCTGGACCCCGGGCTCCCACGCATTTTGCTCAATTAATGGAAAAATCTTAGAACCACTGTCCATCCTCCTGGGTGTCAACCTAATGGTCCCCTCTTCTGACCCAGTCTTGAAGTTGTCTCGTAGGCTCAGGATGGTTTGGTTCTTTTGTTTATGATTCTCGACTCTCTCACTAGGATGTGATTTGCATTTAACCTCTTACCCTCTCTGCCCCTGGCTGTGCAAGGTAAGTGCTCTGCTTGATCAAGCCCTGGTCCCTGTCCCTAAGCCCTAGGATAGAATCAGACAGCTTGGTTGTCCAGGTCTCCCCTGAGGGTGACTCAGACCTATGTTGTATGCTTTGTACACAGTTATAAAAAAGGAAGACTTGAGCACTCTCTCTGTTGGTCTGATTCTCTTTCTCTCTCTGTCTAATAAAAGAGACTCAACTAGAAGAGAATAGAAAATATCAAAGTGCATAGAATGAAGTAAGTAGTTGAGTGTTAAGTTGTGAAACCTCTCTCTGTCCACAAACACACACATATAATAAATGTACATACACATATATAAAACGTGTATCTGAATGTATGTTTGTATGTGTTCTGGTCACCAGGTAAAATGAAAATGCATTGTCAAGTAAGTCAGATCAAAAAGTTTGAATGCCACTGATATAGACACACATAAGTAACTAATATGTTAAAGTAAAATAACAGCTCTAATCTAATCAAAATGAGTTTTGAAAGAAAAAACAACAGAAGAAAGGAACACACACTAAGAATACAAGCAAAAGCACAAAATGTGTTATGAATCCATCAAAATGACTAAAATAAAAAGTCAAATGAACAAGTGTTGATAAGGTTGTGGAACAACTGGAACTCTCATGTAATGCTGCTGGACGTGTAAAATGGTGCAGCCACTTGGGAAAGCTTTTTAGTGCTATCTGCTGAAGGTGAACATATGAATGCTTGTGACCCAGCAATTGCATTCCTAGGTATATACACAGAAAAAGACATATATGAGGATGTTCATGGTGGCATTGTTCATTATAGCTAACAGCTAGAAGTGACTTACATGCCCAGTGACAGTAGCAAGGACAAGGAAATTGGGTATATTTCCTCAGTGAAGTTAATCTCACAAACACAATGTTGGGTGAAAGAAGCTGGCCGCAGAAAAGCACAGACTGTGTGTGATTACATTTACGCAAAGTTCAAACCAGGCAAACCTATGAATGCTGTTAGCAGTTGGCAGGGATTGGAATTGGGCACAAGTGGGAGTGCTCTGGGTATCATTTGTGTTTTGTTTTTTGATCTGGGTGCTGGTTATGCACTTGTGTTCAATTTGTGAAAATTCAGCAAGCTAAACATTTGTGACTTGTGCATTTTTTCTGTTATTATTAAACTTTAGTACAATTTTTTCAAAAAATGTGTCCTGAGCTCAAGAGGAATAAGGATTAACTCTAAGGGTAGGACACTGGAAATGGCTTCTTGAAGGAAGTAACATTGGACAGGCAGGAAGTAACACTGGAGGACAGTACCAACAGACACAGGTGGGATTTTGACGGGAAGAGACCTGGGGAGGCCCATTGCTAGAGGACTCCCCTGAATAAGATACATGTTTTCCAAGTAAAGCAGGCCTTATTCTTACCGACCTGGAGGCTCGAAATACTTGCTGGTGGGGCACATTGCAGGTCAGCACAGCCCAGCTCCTCAGGTACATGAGCCCGATGAGTTTGAGGACATTGAACGCTGGGAGACATGGGGAGAAGAAGGCTCCCATCCTGGAACCACAAGAAAGGTTAGTTTGCATCTGTTCCCTTCCAGCGAATCCTCCAGGGCTGTGGAAGCCCCATGGGGGAACATGGAACAAGCTTTGGGGTTTTCACCCTATGCTTAAAGAACTAGTGAAGCCCCTGACAGGAAGTTCTCAGGTTGGGTGCGGAGCCTCATGCCTGTTATTCCAGCACTTTGGGAGGCAGAGGTGAGAAGACGGCCTGTCCCCAGGGGTTCAAGACCAGTCCGGGGAACTTGGCGAGACCTCGTCTCTGCAATAAATTGAAAAATTAGCCAGGCAAGGTGGCACGCACCTGTGGTTCCAGCTATTTTCAAAGCTGAGGTGGAAGGATCACCTGAGCCCAGCAGGTTGAGGCTGTGGTAACTGTGAGCTTGCCACTGCACTCCAGCTTAAGCAACAGAGTGAGACCCTGACTCAAAAAAAAAAAGACGTTCTCAGGCCACAACCTTCCATCTTTTGGAGATAAGACACATCACTGAAGATGTGATCCTATTAAAAAATACTCTCTTTGCAAAGGACTACTAAGTGTTTGTCTTTCCACACTTGAACACAGTGTGGAAAAAAGCCTGCCTCTGGGAAGGTGGCAAGAAATGGATACTACCGTTTGGGGCTGGTTCCAGATTTTGCCTGTCAGTGGTGAGGACTGTGTGAATCAATTGCTGACTTTCAGGCTTAATCAACACATGTTGAACCCATACTTTTGTTAGGCATTGTGCTAAGTATCCTCTCACATTTTAGCACATTTAATCTGCAACAGGGAAAGGAAAGGTACACATCCAGCTGATAGCCAAGGAAGGCAGGTCTGGGAAAATTGAGTGATTTGCCCAAAGACCTGTTGCTAATACGAGGGCGATCCTGTGTCATCCAAACTGGAATATTTAAGAGTGAAAGAACTAGACCATCCCAGGGAAGCCAAGGCACACAGTCACCCTAAATAAAATGCCAAAGAAGGAACAAAACCCAGATCTTCTGGTTTTAAGTCTAAGCCAATTTATATTGAATATGCATTCAATCTAATACTTGTGGAATGTGGTATGAAAATAAGTCTATAGATGGTGTATATACTTATTATATGCATGTATATGTATGGGAGTACCAAAAATGTCTACACATTTTAAGAGGTGCTATCTATGTATTACTTTTTGAAGTTGAATTGAATTATGATAGCAATGTGTAGTATGACGTTTGCGCAACTGGGCTTCTGCCATTTTCTTTGTCCTGCCTGTTGCATGGTGATGCTAGTGTTCATTTGATTAACACCATCTTTTGAGTGAACACTGTACTTAAAATGTATATACATTTTTGGCACCCCCATATATATAAGAATATGTTCAATAATTCAAAATTTTTAACAAGAAATGTGTGGCATCTTGAAGCAGGCAGAAATATCGTTATCAGTTTGATGTTAGAAAAGATACTTAGCTTCTCTCTGCCTCAGTTTTCTCGTCTTTATTTTTATTGTTATTATTTTTTTGGAGTTGGAGTCTCACTCTGTCACCCAGGCTGGAGTGCAGTGGTATGCTCATAGCTACTGCAGCCTCCACCTGCTGGGCTCAAGTGATCCTTCCACCTCAGCCTCCCAAGCAGCTGGAACTACAGATGTGTGCCACCACGCCCGGTTAATTTTTTTTGATTTATGGTAGAGACGAGGTCTTGCCAAGTTGCCCAGGTTGGTCTTGGAACCCTGGGTTCAGGCAATCCTCTTGCCTCCACCTCCCAAAGTGCTGGAATTACAGGCGTGAGCCACCACGCCCAACTTTCTCATATTTAAAATGGGGAAAATATAGCATTTACCTCACAGGGTTACTATAAGAATTAAATCAGTTACAACAGGTATAAAAGGGCCTGATATCTAGCACCTGTTGAATAAATGCCATATATTATTTTTAATACTATATTTGTAAAGAGATTTTACAAAATAGGTTGGACTGTAAGAATACAGAATTTGATTAGAGGAATATTACTTTATACCTCTCAATTCCCATGCATTTTTATTGAATGATTATGAAGAGAGATCATGTTTGCTGCATGCATGGAACATCCAAGGCCTTTTTTGTTTGTTTGTTTCCTTGTATTTTAACAAATAGCACCACTTGTGACCCAATAGGTAAAACCAGGAATGGTGGAATCACTTAAGAATTCTCCAACATGCCCCACAGACACAAGCATGCATATGATTTGAATTGAATGGCGTCAGCTCCTGAGTGTCTCCAGGAACAGAATTGCCTTGACCTTGGATGTGTCCTGGGTGAAAAGACTTCCCAAGCTTCTGCCTTCCCCCAGGGTGGGTATGCAGTCTGGGGAATGACTAGGCTCTTAGGCCCAGTGTCCACGTGGCATGGGGAATGAGGATAGCCTGGCCAAGGTCCCCAGCTGTGACCACAGCCACTCCTGAAGTTCTAATGGGAAGAAGCAGCCTCTTCTCCCAGCTTCCCCTGGTTCTACCTAGCAGCTTGTCCTGCTGTTCTCTGTGCAGATTTTATTGGCTGTGACCAATAGCAGCTTAAAAATGGACCATTTCATTTATCATTTCTCCTTGCAAACTCTTTAGAAGACCACTAATAAAGTTACTATACACGTGAAATAGTTCCCTCGGAAACCTTACTTGAAGCTCATGGCTGTGTTTGTTGCAGTCATGTCCCATCCAGACTAAGTAAATTAAACTCTCAGCCCAGAGGAGAAGTAAGCAAAGACAAGAAGGAGCTTTGATACCTACCAGATCATTCCTTGGTTGTAGACTAAATGCAGTACATTCTCAGCTATTTTGAATTCTCCATATTCAGGCTATAAGAGAAAATGAACTTCTGCATTAAAAAAGTTCTAAAGTTCTCTGCAAGAGCTGGTTTGCTCTAGTCACATGTATAGATGTCTTTGCTCTCCTAAGCACTTAGAGGTCAGTGCCTGTGGGGCCATCCTGGTAAATGGTCAGAGTTAAGAAGGAGGTAGGAGCCCAGCTTTGTACAACCTTCCTCTCTTCCCTCACCTCTTCTCTCGTCATGGGTTCCCCCAGCTGCGCCAGACTGTTTCCCAGCCTCAGCATCCAAAAAGGATGGATTTGGCCACATGAACTTCCCCAACGGACATAGCACTTTACTTACAAACTTGCTTTCCAGGTCCCAGCACCAGTAGTCACTCAAGTACCGAACGAAAAGTCCTCGGAAGAAGTCTATAAGCAGGATGCTTGCCACGGTGAAGAGCATGTCAATGATGGAGAGCTTCAGCATCTCCTGCAACACAAGGTGTCCCTGGATGCCACCACGCCCTGCGCTCCCATGGCCGCTCTTCCTTCAGGGGCCTCCTAGTCTCTGTTCATTATCATGGACCTGAGCCTGTGGACCCCTCCCATGGTGAATTCATTTTGCATCTTTATAAGGTACAGGGGGAGAGGGATGGCACCTAACAGGCACTCAATGAATACTGGTAAGTTTGAACTTGAATGTTGATGTTCCAGGCCAGTGTTAGGAAAGAGTCTAAGGTCTCTGGTTCTGAGTCGCAGGAGACTCCTTGAGGCCTGGACCCCTTCCAGTGGGGTAATACCTTGGGGTCGAGACTCTTACATGATGATTAAGGGCACAGATTTTGGAGCAGATGCCTGTGTTCGGGTCTTCTTTCTGCTCTTTACTATCTGTGTTCTCGGGCAAGTTACTTTACCACTTGGGCCGCAGTTTCCTCATCTGTGCCTTTATATAAGCGTGACAATAATAGGACTCTGATAAGGACTAAGCACTTAGAACAGAGTCCAGCATATACTGCATGAGTCCTTGCACTCATAATTATTTTTTATTTTGCAACCTGGAAAATCAGAAACCTCAGTGAACTTTTCTATAAAATAGGGACAGTGTCACCTCAGAGACTTGCTGGGGTTAAGTGGTAAAAGACTGGGAAGGAGCTTTGTGAGGTAAGAGGTTCCACCTGGCCGACGTATGTCTCCCAACACTGGTCTTGTGGACTCTGGGTGTAGAAAGTGGTCCTGTTGGCCTTTGTGAGAGGCACGGTGTAGGTTGGAATGCTCATTTCTTCTAAGGCCCATGTGCTGTTTCTCCTGAGCCCTCCTCCAGGCTGAGGTGTGGACCATTTGTCTTCTTTAGGGGCGATTCTGGTGGCAAGGAAGGTGGTAGAATCCATCCAGTGACTTGTGTTATTTTTGGCAGCAGCTTCCTGTGGAGGGAGGGAGGGAGGGAAGGAGGGAAGGAAGAAAAAAGATTGTCCGTATATTTATAAATAAGAATCCATCATAGATATCAAGGGTGTCACTGCATTGCTTGGGAATAATCATTCATTCTCTGTCTCTTTGTCTCTCTGTCTCTCCCTTCCTTTCCCTTCCCTTCCCTTCCCTCCCCTTCCCTCTCTTTCTCTCTCTCTCTGTAGACAACTACTTGACTAAAGTTGACCCCAGTAATGGGGAATGCAGAGATGTAATAGATAGTGTTTACTTGTCCCTAGTAAGTATCAGAAACAGTTTTAGGTAACACACATTATCTCTTCTCATCCTCACAAGAGTTTCAGATAAGGTTTATTATCCCATGTTCAAATGAGGATATTAAAAACTCAGTGAGTTGAAGTACAGTGCTCAAGGTCATGCCTCTAGTAAGAGGCAGGAAGGACCCAGGTCTATGTAACCTCAAAGCTCTGATGCTGAAAAATTACTCTCTGGCCTCTTCTGCCTATAAGCCTTGAAATGTGATGTTAGTATGGTATGCCTTGGGCAAAAAGCTCCTCCCCACTGCCCCCACCAGTCAGGATATCTTCACAGGTGGAGCAGATTGAAGTGGACACAAGGCTACCCTAGGCTGGGGGTAGGTACTCCTGCTGGACTGGATGGTGGAGCCCACTCTGAACTGTTCCCCATGAAGTTATTCTCTCTTGATTTTCCAAGGGAGTTCCATGGCATGCTGCTCTTTCTGGGATCATTTGCAGTCACTGTTGATAGCTTTTCCTGATGGAATTCAAGGAAATGGGGTAGTATGATATAAAGAATAAAACTCCTTGAGTTCTCATCCCTGCACCATGAACCATGAAAACTGACCCGAGTTTCATCTGGGAAATGGGACTAATTTTTCTATCCTTCCCTAGAGAAGACCACAGGTCAGTCGAGTTTGGAACATGAGGGGTGGCATGCAAGCAAAGTTGTGATGCTGACCTCAATGGCGAAGTCCCTGGTTTGGATAGGGGTGCGAGTGGGGCTGGGGGTGGTGAGAGCAGGGGGTCAGGCGACTGTCCTGGATGGGCACTCACCTCAGTGCTCATGCTATTAACTTTGTCCAGGAGAGCAATGATCAGACTGTAGAGATTTCCCAGATACAGCACAAGGACTCTGAAAGCCATAAACACGCCTTGAGAGACAAGCCCAGCACACACATGTTTATGGTTCCAGACCTACCACATGCTTCTAGACTGTCATGGTTATACTAAGACAGTGATTGCCAAATTTGTTTTCTCACGTTGAGGGCATTACAAAAACACAGAATTCCAGAATCCACTCTATTTCAGGAGGTCTGGATGGGGTCTGGGAATCTTTTTACAGCCGTTTCAGGTGATTTCTCTGTGGCCATCCTTGCATCTGTATTCTAGAAACACTAGTGTAGCAGAAAAGGTGTGAGTTTAGGAAGTAGGATGCTACAGTGTCATGTAAAGTACATGTCTTTGTGTCATGCTTTCTGGTTTAAAACATGATTTTCCGTGCATTATCTCATTTGATCCTCACGATAACTCTGTGAAGTACACATTATCATAATCACCACTTACAGGACAAGCACTGGAAACATGGAGAGAGCCAAGTGACCAGCTCAACTTCACACAGTTAATAAGCAGCACAGTCAGGCATAATGGCCTACTCCTGTAATTCCAGTACTTTGGGAGGCTGAGTTGGGAGGATCACTTGAGGTCAGGAGTTAGAGACCAGCCTGGGCAATATAGCGAGATCCTGTCTTGACAAAAAAAAATCAGAAAAATTTACCCAGGCACAGTAGCACATGCTTATAATCCCAGCTACTTGGGAGGCTGAGGCAGGAGGATCACTTGAGCCCAGAAGTTCAAGCAGTGAGCTATGATTACCTTGGCAACAGAGCTAGACTCTGTCTCTAAAAACTAAAAAAAAAGCAAAAGGATGCAATTTCAGGACATCAGTGTTATACAGGCTGGTCCCCTCGGAAGCATGGAGGGACTGTGGATGGGAGTAAGTCTTAATCCACCAGTGAGCAAAGACTTGATGTCAGTTTCCCCAGAGCTGGGAGATTTTGGAAGCACAACACTGAATTTCCCAGGATGCAGCCTTGGGTCTCGTTAGAAACCTGTCTGGAGGAAAGAGAAAGGAGAATGGCAGGTTGACAGATACTTCAGTGGGACCACAATTAGCCCTTGGTGAATCAGTGAACTAAGACCAGTTGGTGGGGAAGCATCTGCATCTTGAGGAAAAGACTCCAAATGGAAGCTCTGAGTCAGCCATCCCTACAGTCCTCTTGCATCTCCTCTGGTGTGGGGTTGACCAGTTGACCCTGTGCAGGCAGTGGGCAGAGAAACATGGGAGGGGATGTCTTCAGGGGACAGCGCCATAACTTGCAATAGCATTTCCTCTAAAATTGTTCAGGGATTCCCTTCTGTGTAGTGTGGTTACTGTATTGAGCACAGGCCGAGCACCTAGTGTGGACTCAACGAGTATTGGTGGAAGGAAGGAGCAGATGAGCTTTGTCTCCTGCTGTCTGGGCATTGTCATCGTTCTGGTTTTCACTGTGCCTTGGATAAAAGGTAATACAGTCTGCTGGTGAGTTAATGGAAGTAAAATAATATGTCTTGCTCTTATTACCAGAATTAGCCCTAATCTGTCTGGGGCAAGTCTCTGATGCCTCTGTTTCTCTAGTTTTGAACATGAATAATGAGGCCAATCTATATAATAGGATTGCCTTTAGACCAAATGCAATCATGGAATCGATTCTCCCCAATGCCTGCTAGTGAGGAAGGAGCTAAGGAAGGCACTTCTCTCTTCCAGGCAAGAGAGATGCCGAGTGGATCTGAAAGAACCAGGGGAGGAACCAGGGTACCGAGAGCCTCACATCAGATCCACCCTGGGCTGTGAGAGTTTGGACAATCCCTTGCTCTGGGCAGTCATATTTTTCCATCTTTGAAATAACAGTTGGATTTCAGGAGTCAGACATGATGGGTTTCAAACAAAACCATACCCTAGCCTATTTTTGTCAATACAGTTGTATCGGGGCATAGGCATGTCCTTTCATCTGTGTGTGGTCTATGGTGACTTTCATGCGCAACCTGAGAATTGAGTAGTTGTGACAGAGCTGGTCTTGAAACTTCAAATATCTGGTCCATCTCAGAAGATGCTTGCTCACTCTCGAATGAGAGCAAATCTTCCCAAAGTGATCTATGGAAAATCAGTCCTATTGGGTGTTATTAGGTGTCATAAGACAAAACAGTGAAATCAGTGTAGACTGGGATGAAAGCGGAGAAAGTAAGTAGGGTCCTCACCACTTCCCTCTGCCACATTCAGTTTCACAATGCCTCACCAACCCTCCTACAGTAGCTTAATTTATAGATGAGGAAACCATACTCCAGGGAGGAAAGGTAGTTTTCAGGGAAACAGTGACAAAGCTAGAGTTAGAAATAAATGTGGTTGTTCTGACTCCTGCAGAAAGTGTCCCAGGACGTTCTCTCTGACACACCAGCCTGCTATTGCCCATGTCTGCACTGAACTACCTGCTGTTGCAGGAGTTGACCACACTGGCATGAAGCTTCCAGACATGCCCACAAGAAACTCTTTGAGTCTGAGCTTTGGAGAATTATTAGCAAAGCACTGACTGTTTCTCTCATGTCTGAAGAACCAACATAGGTCTCTCTCTCTACTGATAGTCAAATCACAGAGCGAACTCAACAAAGAGAAGAACCAGATACAATTTCCATCCTCTTCTTGGGTACCCGCCTTTTTTTTTTTTTTAAGATATGGGGTTTCTCTCTGTCAACCAGCCTGGAGTACAGTGGTGTGATGATAGCTCACTGCAGCCTCAACTTCCTGGGCTCAAGAGATCCTCCCACCTCAGCCTCCTGAGTAGCCAAGACTGTAGGTACACAACACCATGCCTGGCTAATTTTTTAATTTGTTTGTAGAGACAAAGTCTTGCTATGTTGCCCAGGCTGCTCAGTCCTTTTCTGTGTCCTCTTCTGCCAGTTCTTCCCTTTTCCTTTTTCTTCTTCCCCCTCCCCCTCCTCTGCCTCAGCTTCCTCTTCTTCAACCCTTCTAATCCAGTGTCCTCCTCCTCCCTACCTCCTCCCCTTCCTCTGCCTCACCCTGTCCCCCCTTCTGCCCTCTTGGATCCTGCTTTTACTGAGTTGCACCCACAGGTACTGAATGTTGAGGGAAAAGATGCAAGCCCTAGGTCTTGAGGCACTTCACTCCCAACGGTGGGAGGGCGGCGGGCTAGCCGCTGTGTGGAATACCTGGCCAGCTGGAAACGCAGTGTGGTCCGGGGGTGGTACATCTCCAAGGCAGCTATGAGGTCAAATGCCGATGGTGCTATCATGGTGACCAGGGAGACCACCACGCTCACCTGTTGAGAGAGCTTGTGCCAGTGCCTGTGTCCCTAGGGTCCCCACCCAACCTCATCACCTATGGTCTTTTCACCTAACAGAGGGTCAGTGGGTATCCACAGGGACATCAGTTCTATCATGGAGGACTTCCCCAAATCTCTGCTAATTCGTTTTTTCAAAAAATCCTTGCCACTTTATCACAAGAGGTACTATTTTTATGTTGTTGTTGGAACTCTCCTCATTGCCATCTCATTCTGATTACGCATCCCTGACCTTGGATGGAAGATGAAAATAACTGCAACTATTACTAATAAAAAAGGGAAGGCCAAGAGATAATTTAATATTCTTTCTGTACATGGAAGATTAATTATCTGGAGAATTATGCCTGACTCTTAGTTCTCTGTATTTATAGCAAAAGAGAGTTTTAGCTGATACAGAATATGTTTGAGTTAAAATAAGAAATAGTTTCTGAATCTATCTTTTAAAAAAGTATCTATCAACCTATCTGTAAATGTGCAAACATTCATTTACATAACCAATTTAATTAACATGAGATAGAAAGACGGAGGAAAAGATTACCTGTATTGGCTCAGATTTTGTTAACTTATTGTATATTGGTATATGCACAGGATAAATTGATGATCTTATTGCCTATAGGCTTTTCTTTCTAACTCCTAAAGGGTGACAATGATTTTCGTAGAAATGGTCTGAAAGGTGGTTTCTGTGCTATTTCTGCCTTTAAAATATTTACAGGTAAATGGGGAAGGCCTTTCAGGACACGGTCTTATAGCTAATATTAAGAATTCCAAAATTCCCTATAACCTTCCACTTGGTAATTTTCTATTTATGGGAATATCCACATATAAGGAAGGGAAAGATTGTTTAGAAAACAAGCTATTTTCATAGAAAGATGTACATTATATGTCAGCAACTACAGTGTAATGCATTTATTTTGTGTGAGCCCAGCAAACCACTTGAGAACACGATTTATTTTGCAGGGACACTGAATTAACCCCTCAATTGCTGTCCTATGCCACAGAGGCACCGGTCTTGACACACTACAGCTTTTGTTTCTTTTTTTTTTTTTGAGTTAGAGTCTCACTCTGTTGCCCAGACTGGAGTGCAGTAGCTGCTCCCAGCCACCACAGCCTCGACCTGCTGGGCTCCGGCGATCTTTCCGCCTCAGCCTTCCAAGTAGCTGGAACTACAGGCGCGTGCTACCACGCCCGGCTAAGTTTTTTGATTTATTGTAGAGATGAGGTCTCACCAAGTTGCCCAGGCACTCACCTCAGCCTCCCAAGGCGCGGGATTACAGGCTGAGCCACTGAGCCCAGCTTGAAGGTGTTTTTGAATCAAAATCTTTCCTAATGGAGACCAATAAAGTCACTCATCCAGGCCTCGGTGCTGTGACTCTGCACTCAAAGCCTTTGTAATCCATGTTCTAGGACAAGAGGTCCCTGGAGATGTTCCTACCAATTGCACTGAAGAAACAAAGGGACAAGCTACTTTTCTGTCTCTTTTGGAGGAAGCTGCAGGTATTGGCAGTGGTTACCTCATTCTTTTCCCAAAGCGTCAGTTCCTTCTTGGACTGTTCCAGCTTCTGGGACCGGTCCACCACAAAGTAGATGAGATAAATGCTCCCAGCCAGTGAGAGAAGCACCAGGATGTTGGCAATGATTCTCAGACAGATTGTCACTGCCCTGGGGGAGAGACAGGCATGAGGACAGGCACAGAGGGTCCTGCTCAGAACACCACCACACACAGACTGGGGGAGGGAGTGTATCCACTCCCAAGAGGATTCTCCACCCTGAAGAATCAGTGCTCCCTACCTCACTCAAAATTCCTCATTTCCTAGGAGATCAACACTGAGTTATAAATTCAACCAGCCAGCACCAGCAGGGCTTGACACAGACAAATAGGCTGGAGTGCAGTGACACGCTCATGGCCACAGCAGCCTCGCCTTGCTGGTCTCAGGCAATCTTTCCACCTCAGCCTTCCAAGTAGCTGGAACCACAGGTGTGTGCCACCACGCCTTGCTAATTTTTTGATTTATTATAGAGATGAGGTCTTGCCAAGTTGCCCAGGCTGGTCTCAAACCCCTGGGCTCAGTCAGTTCTCTCACCTTGGCCTCCCAAAGTGCTGGGATTACAGGCATGAATCACCACATTTGGCTCTTTTTTTTTTTTTTGAGTCCTGAGCATTTGAGTTTCAGTTCTCACTTTGCTACTTAAAATTGGAGTCTTGTGGTATGCACATTTAAAATGCAGGAGTTCAGCAGAGGGAGGTAAGAGGCAGGGAAAGATGGGGAAGGAGGGAGGACTGATGATTCTGCCTGCCATCCCATATAGGATGAATCTGACATTGTACCATGTATAGTCGTGAGCCGCATAACAACATTTTAGTCTAGGGCAGACTAGATACACCTTTCCATGAGATTATAATGGAGTTAAAAAAATGCCTATTGCCTAGTAACGTTGTAGCACCCCACATTACTCACGTGTTTCTGGTGACACTGGTGTATTCCAGTGGTATAAAAACCTACCACATAGAATTATGTTCAGTACATGATACTTGATAATGATGATAAATACTTATGTTACTGGTTATGCATTTACTAGACTACATTTTTTGTCATTATTTTAGAGTGTACTCTTTCTACTTATTTTTAAAAAAGTGAAAAAGTGAACTGTAAGACAGCCTCTGGTAGATCCCTCAGGAGGCATTCCAGAAGAAGGCCTTGTTATCATAGGAGATGTTAGCTCCATGTGTGTTATTGCCCCTGAAGACCTTACAGTGGGACAAAATGCAGAGGCAGAAGACAGAGATACTGGTGGTTCTGACCCTGTGTAGGCCTAGGCTGATGTGGGTGTTTTTGTCTTTGTTTTTCACAAAAAGAGTAAAAAATAAATAAATTAAAAATAGAAAAAAACTTATACAAGGAGATTTTTGTATAGCTATACAATGTGTTTATGTTTTAAGCTAAATGTTATTTCGAGTCAAAAGTTAAAAAATTCAGGTTTTAAAGTAAAAAAAAGTGACAGTAAACGAAAGTTAATTTATTATTGAAGAAAGAAACTTAAAAAAATAAACAGTGTAGTCTAAGTGTACAGGGTTTCTAAAGTCTACAGTTAGTGTGTGGTAATGTCCTAGGCCTTCACATTCACTGGCCACTCACTCACTCACAAATATTTGCCATTGTGTTATAGCTGCCTACAGTATTCAGTCCAGGAACATGCTGTACAGGTTTATGGCCTAGAAGCAATAGGCTATACCCTATGACCTAAGTGTATCATAAGCTAGACCATCTAGATCTGGGTGAGTACACTCTATGATGTCCACACAACAATATCACCTAAAGACACATTTCTTGAATATGGCCCAATCACTATGTGACACGTGACTATTTCCTTGTTATTTTCCTAGCTGTTTTTTCCCTCTAGAAGTGAGCGCTCCATGGCTGGGTGTGGTGGATCATGCCTATAAGCTCAGCACTTTGGGAAGCCGAGGTGAGAAGGTTGCCTGAGCCCATGGGTTCGAGACCAGCCTGGGAAATTTGGCAAGACCTCACCTCTACAATAAATCAAAAAATTAGCCAGGCATGGTAGCACATGCCTGTAATTCCAGATACTTGGAATGCTAAGATGGAAGGATCCCCTGAGCCCAGCAGGTCGAGGCTGTGGTGACCATGAGCATGCCACTGCTCTCCAGCCTGGGTGACAGAGTAAGATTCCAATTCAAAAAGAAAAAAAAAAAAAAGAAGTGAGCACTCCAACATTTTAGTCTTTTTCGCTGCTGTATCCTCAGCACTTAGGACAGGCTTAGCACATACTGGCACTTAATAAATCTTTGTTAGATGAATGAGTGAACAAAGGAGCAACTAAATGGCCATCAGATGGGACATGAGACCCATTCCCTTTCTCATTCGGTCTCCTTTCCACATGCCACCCCCAGGGTGGGCAGATCTCTGAGTCACCAGTTATTCTAGTATTTACATAGATGTTTCTGGCTTTAGTTGAAACACATCTATTTTTTTCTAACATCAGAGGACAACTCACGTCAGTTGAAGTCAGATAGTGAGTTGTCCTCTGATGTTGTGTATTTATTTTTATGTTGAAACCTCAGTCACCTTCAAGGTATTCTCTGTTGGATGCAATATGCCTATCAAGAGGCTTTTTCTACTGCTCAAAACAGTTTTTGAACTTATTGATTTGGATGCCTTTTAGTGTTTCTGCCACTTTTTATTTTACCTCTTCCACATCAGCAAAGCATTTCCCTTTGAGGTCTTTTTTCATCAGGAAAGCAAAAAAAAAAAAGTTATTCAGGGTGAGATCAGGTGAACATGGAGGGTGGGGCACGGGAGTCAGGCCACTTTTGGTCAAAAACTACTGAACACTCATTGCAGTGGGCAGGTGTGCTTATAAATTACCCATCATGAAATAGGCAGACACTATAAAAGACTCTTCAAAAAAACCTTTTTTTTCACTGAAGTCGAACACAGCCTCTCACAATGCTAGCTGGTACACTGATACCGATGGATTCCTAGAATCCGTCACCTAGTGTGGGAAGCCTGAACTACAAGGGCCTACCTTCCTCCTCTCCAAAAAAAATTCCAGCCTTTTTTGAGTCCTCCCTCATATTTTTAAGGCACCTTCTTCTGCTAACTTTGGAACGTGTCTTAGCTGTTTCTCTGAAAACAGAACCCCAGACCTCTTTGCAGAAAGTTTATTTGGGAAGTAATCCCAGAGAGCAGGAGTGCAGGTCTGGGGCATGGAGCAGGAGAGAAGAGCCAATGGTACAAGGATATGTAGTGGAGTTGGTCACTGCTAGAGGCAATCGCAGGGCCTTCTGAAAGGTCTGTGAGAATTGTGCTCAGCATAAAATAGACAGGCATTTATCCAATTCCCTGTGGTTCAGGGTGACTCCTTGAGCATCAACGCCCAGCCTCTTTGTTACACTTGTATATATGTAGGCTAGGATCTCGTGGGTACCCTACACTGCAGCCTCAGAGGATTCCTGGAGGACCAAGCAGTGGGTGTCAGCAAGATATACATTCATGCAGCCGAGGGCTCCCTGTACAGCCCAGCCTGACAGCAGGGGCTGGAGAAAGGTGTGGTCAAGAGGATTCGAAGGAGTACACAAGAGGTGTTCCATCTGCTCTGTGAAATTCCACCCACTGGGACTTTGGGCAGGTCACAGCACCTCCCTCTACATATGTCTTGGACCTTCATCTGCACAGTAAGGAAACTCACTCCCGGATGACATGCTAAATGTCAACTTGTTGGGTAAAAATAAACTATGTTATAATATTATAAAAATAATAACTATGTTATTATTATTATCAGCTCTGGTGAAGGAGAGGTACAAAGAGTCAGAGTGCAGAAAGTCCATCCTTTCACAGTTGGGGAAAAGAAGGTTCTGGGAGGTCAAGGGCATTTTCCCGGTCATGGGCATTGAAGACACAGAGAGGGCTAGAATGCATGTCTTCTGACTCCCTAGGGACTGCTCTTCCCAACACCTGCTCCCTCTCATTTTCCCAGAGGCTAAGTGTATTTCCTCAAGCCTCCATGTCCTTTTCTTCAACAGTTCTCTAAGTGGGCTTCCTGCCCTGTAAACTAATAATGGGCTAAAGAGCCAGTAAGAATGTGGGATGAGCAGACGTGTCTGTCCCCATGAGGACAGGGCCATTGCCCTTTCCTGGAAAGGCCTTCCCTTTTATCACTTCTCTTTTTGAAAGGCTTCCCCCTCACCGGTGTAGCTCTGGAGATCTCGAGAAGAACCTCAAACCTAGGAAATCATCTTGGAAGGTTTGTGGACACGACCAGGTTAATATTTGTGTCTTATGACTTCAGAGGCTTGTTTCTAAATAAAACTAGTCTTAACAGCATTTATATATTTCCTTCATTTAGCAAACCAGAAGTTGGTCCTAAAAATACCTCTTTTATCATCCAAGTAAAAGAGGCCAACTTCAGACCTCTCACCCTTGTTGTGGGACCTACAGAAGGAGACAGAACTCCTAAATACTGTTTTGGAAAAATTATAGAGTTCCTGCAGATCATATTACTAGAAGATAAATATTCAGAAGAAAGAAGGCTGGGCAGTGGCTCAGCCTGTAATCTCGCACCTTGGGGCTGAGGTGAGTGGATTGCCTGAGCCCACGGGTTCGAGACCCTCTTGGGCAACTTGGTGAGACCTCATCTCTACAATAAATCAAAAAATTACCCGGTGTGGTAGCATGCGCCTGTAGTTCCAACTATTTGGAAGGCTGAGGCGGAAGGATTGCCGGAGCCCAGCAGGTTGAGGCTGCGGTGAC